TTGTGGGATTATTTGGCACTTTTTAAAACGTTTGGGCCTAAAGTCCTTATTTTTCTTCTCTTTTATTTAAATAGAAGGGTATTTTAGTCATTTTGCCATGGAAAACAGTGAAAAGGACGTTCAGCGCAAGGAAACGTTGAAATGAGGGCAAAAATGCAAAAAAATGGAACGTAGGGACGTTTTCCACAATAAGGGTCAAACGTAGGGACGTTTTGCGCTATTAAGCCATTTTATAATTATAAGTTCATTTTATACCTTTACATAATTTTAAGTCAATTTTTTACACATGAGTAACTTTTTATAAGTGAATTTTTGTCTCATTAGTAGTATTTTTATTTTATAAACAATTTCTTAATATAAAGTGATTTTTTACTTATAAGTAATTTTTTTAATTATAATGAATTTTTCTTACCTTATAATTATAATGTAATTTTTTTGCTTATAAATAATTTTTTAGTTAATTTATTTTTATTTATAAATTAGTTTGAAGAAAATGCTGACTGGAAATAATTATTTAATAAATAATAAATTTATAAGAAAATAAGAGAAACGGTCAAAACTCGTCGATTTTATGGGTTGAGAGAACTAGTCAAAATTATACTACACCAATTTTTGGTGATTTTTAAACAATCCAAAATCGGCACCCAAAATAATTAACAAACACTTGTTTTTTCAATCCCACAAAAACAACGTCATTCAAAACCAATCAACACCGATGAAAACATAAAACTTCAAAGCAGGCCCTCACAGATGCAGAGCTTCAAGAGTCATCACGACCCACAGGCAAAAGGTTGTGGATCAGCTCGGTTGGGCTTGTATAGCTAGGCTCGTGAACACTAAGCCCTGCTAGACTCGGTTCGCGACAGGCTGTGCTCCAATGCATGACCTGATCACCATACACCTCTAAGCATGCCCACAAATCAAGAAAACTATCTTACAGATGATTTGATGGAAAAATAGAAATCAATTAAATGCATAGGAACTATGAATTGCCAGATTTCAATTTCATTTCCGAGACTCAAACTTTTCAACTCCGATAACATCTTCAAGCAGAGTTCATATCTTTCTTGAAGATCAACAAAAATCTATTTAGTGATGCAATAATCCACCGTTCCGAAGGCTCACGAGGATACATGGGCATACGAATGCAAACCACAAAAGGATATAAAGCCCAGTTTGTTTTAGTTACAGAAGTTGATAAAAATCTAAGTCAAAGTCAACAATTAATTTTAACCACTCATTTCATGGGACCCAAACTTTTCAACTACCCATTCCATCAACCATTTATCAAAATCTACTAAAATTTTGATTTTTACCTAAACCAACCAAAGGTAAAATTGATTACACGAGAGAATCAACGACTAATAGCTTGCAAAACATATGAAATCTACATCACCAATTCTATGGTGTTCACAAAATATATAATTCTGGTGAGTACTATCCATTACAAAGATGTTAAGCATTGCTGTAATTACAAAATGATTCTTGCCAATAACATTGTGTAGATCAGTCAGGTCATCCAAACAACTAGCTAGCTATAACCTCCAGATACCTACAAAAGTAAAACATAAAGGGTCATCATATTGGACTCAAGTATTCCAGGAGAGAGCCCGATATGTAAGGTAGACTGATAGGTCTTTCCAAACGCAACAAAAAAAAAAAGTACATATATATCCAATACAGAAATTGAATAACTAAGAATTTTCGACAGTTCCTGATGCTTGCAAGAGAAAAATCATGGAGAGCTTGGTCAAACTTGAATAGAACTTGGTAATATTAAATCGAACTTTACTGATGCACAAATACAAAACTAAAGCCATTTCAACAAGTGAAACAGAAGACGATGATCACATTCAAGCTCAAGTAAAATAAAGAAGCTATATGTACCTAATTGGATGAAAGCATTGATCACCTTCTTACAGGTGCCACGAAATAAGAAGAAAATGTTGAAAAAGAAATCATGTATTTGAGAAAAACTGAGATGTAGTGGAAGTAGGTTAATTAATTCCTTTTTTGAAAATAATAATGATGCATATCTTCCTTTTGCACATTAGCATTTCCAATCATTTCACTACTTACCACTTCACATGAGAAAGCACCATCAACGCTTAAATAAATGACGGCGTGCAATCAACTCCTGTATTCCCGAAGCAGAAATGCTTTTACACCCTAAAAGCTCCTGAAGCTTTGCATCACAATGAATCGTCATTGAATTCAGAGGATCCTATACAAGACAAACCAGATAAGGAAGATTTTGAAATGCACAGACGACATGTCCAACTTATAATCAGCACTCAGCGTCAGCACACAAGAATCTAGAGCTTTGCAAGGGTACACAAGCGCAAATGTGGCAGCATCCTATAGGTTTTATTCTAATAGGAGATTCAATGTCAAGTCATGAATTTGATCTGCATTCTCACATATTTTTTTGAAACAGGTCACTGAGTATGAATGGGTGAAGCCCGCAAGTTGAAACTTTTATTTAAGGACTGCAATGTAACTACATGTACAAAATCAAATATGATTATTAAAATAAATAAAAGCGAGCGAACACACTGTGACTTGGCAAGAGACATATATCAAATAATAAAAATTTGAAATCATGACCTATGTGTAACAAGTTACAGCTGCCAACTAACCTATGCCCTAAAACGAGCAAACACTCATTGAGTTGGCAAGAGACGTGTATCAATTAATTAAATCCTGGAAATCATGACCTAGTTTGTAACAAGTTACAGCTGTCTACACCATTTTTCTAATTTACAAAAAAGCTCTTTTATATATAGATAGTTGTTCCTGTTACTCAAGAAATTATGAGTTCCATCAAATACAAAGAAAAATTTACTTGTCTAAGACAAAATTTGCTCAACTGTTATATTAATACACAATTTTATATACAATATTTTCTTCACTTAGTAGCCCAATTTAAAATATTTGTTTGCAAATTATTTTGACCATCAATAATATCGTAAAGAATTTATTTCATTTACTGCTTGAAGAACTAAAATAGACATGCTAAAAGAGATATCAGAAAAAAAAATCATCAAGATTTTGAAATATGAAACTATGAAAGTCAATAACTAGGCGTACAACAAATCAAGCCTTAATAGTATGTGTACGTTACTTCATTCTGCATTATTAATTTGATATTATCAATGTGATGTGGGTTTGCTTAATTTTGTAAATATGTATTTAGAGTAATTATGATGACTCCTTAAGTAATCCCACCTCAAGCTTATTAACCTTTATGTAATCCCAAACACGTCCCAGTGCCACAGATTGGAGCATCTCCCTTTCTCCAGTGCCAAGAAATTTTAGAAGTGAATCTGATATTATAACAGGAGAAGGACTGCATTCTGTACTTTCCTTTTCAGGATAATCTTCAACCTTTGGTTTCTTCGCTTGACCAGATTCTTCTGCAAATGTTTGATTTGCATACAACAATAAAGAATAAGGCAAGAACATCACAGGAAAATCATATATGTCAAATTAGCTCTGGTGCTCATCATACATACTTGTTGGATCAAGTGCCATAATATGCTTTGCAAGCAGCTTATTCATCTTGAACATGTCTGTGCAGTCCGTTTCAAAAACCAATCGCAAGGCATCATCACAGATAATCTTTCTCTTGTTACCTGGATCCTGAAGGTTGTGCTTCCTGATGTATGCCCATAGCTGCTTAACAATCTGAATCACAGACAACAGTCTACTTCAGTATTCCAGACAATTAGCACTAGTACTGGATAAAATAAACAATGAATGTAAATAATGATCTCGAAAAGAGGAAAACTGTTTGCTCTGGAGATCCAAACCTCTGTCCTCGACAATGCTGGCTCCCCAACAATGGCCTGTAGTTCAGGTGAAACGCCACATACTTTGTTTAGGCCACCTGGACCGCCTCTTCTTTTGGGTCGAGCTGGAGTGCTGAAATAAAAAGGTAAGTGAAACAAATCATTTGTCTCGTTTGGTTGGTGAGCAATGAGGTATATTCTTCACCAGTTGCCATAGAAAGTGGCAATATCACAGCATCGGAACTTAAACCAAAATATTAACAGAAACTTTGCACAAGTGGAAACCACCCTCACCTACTGTTTTCAACTTCCAAAAAAAAATAAGTAACACTTGTAGGATAGAAATCATATTAATTCATGCAGTTGCATTCTGAAAAGTAAGTAATGATTGTTAAGAATAAAAATAAGAACTTCAAGCATGTGGGTAAAACATTTTAAACAGTAAAATATCTTTCCACTCAAAGTAATAAGACTGTTAATATTCATCTAGATTATTACATGCATTAGGTTTCTATCCAATTTATTATTAGATCAGAAGAGACATACACAGCATAATGAATTGGTGACAGTAGTATAAAGAAATAACCTATCCGCCTTTGACAAGTTACATTGGACAGCATACGAAAGCACACCATCAAAACAGGAACACACAGGTGTGGACTGCGCATGTGCGGATTTGTGTTTGCTTGCCATTTTGCTTTCCCTTTATCTCTTCGAGAGAGATTGTGTGTGTGTGCGCGTGTGCGTGCACGTGTTGGGGTTGGGTGGGGATGTTAGACAAGTTAATTTGGTAGTGCATGTATTTGTATCCAAATATTTTTGTACAACTTAGTACCACTCAAAATAGATGGGCGAAAAATGTTCTAAAATGAAACGGTAAACTTTATTCATTTCTCTCTATGGTATCCCCGACCAAAATTCTAATATAAAATGGGTATAAATCCAAAAACAAACGATACAGAAGAGTGAAAGACTAGTAAGGCCTTGATAAAACAACTTTCCATCCATTTGATCTGAAAAATTGGATGAAGCTTGGTGTTTCCCAGTCAACTTAACAAAGGGAAAACTTGTTAAGGAAAGCCACCAGAAATTTCCATCTCTTCTAAAAACCTTAAGTAACAACCATTTAAAACGTAACTTTCTAAATCCTATTCCATATATCTGCCATTGCCTTGTCTTGATTAAAAGTTATTGATAATATAAATATCTCGGTTTGATAAATATCGATGTCAAATCAAAATGGCATAAAAATGCATTAGATCTTTTGCTTTAAATTGAAATTTGCCGCAGCAGAGATGTGTGCTTTGTAAAAATAAATTAGAAACTGCTTCTCATTTCATGCATGAGTTAAGATTATGAAAGAACAAGTGTACCTTCACAATAAACAAGAGAACTAAATAAATGATGAATTAAAGACAGAATAACAAGTTCTTAACAAATTACAATCAGAATCACACTAAAGGAACAAAAATGGCACTGTTGAACAATCACCACGCAATCTTACCTATTAAAAACCCTGCTCACTTTAACTACACCAGAGAAAATAGATAACCATAATAAATGAAACTTGACCGTCTATGACCCTGACTAAAGCAACCACGAAACCGCAACAAAATTTAAGCTTTTTAACAACGCCACTTCACTTTTTTACCAAAACCGAAACCCTAACTAACCCCAAATAACACCCCGCGAAGGGCCAAGACCTTGTTTATAAAAACAAATTGGGCGAAAACGCACCTTCCTTTTGGCGTTCCAGAAGCCTTCGCCACTACATTCTGAGCGTCAGCTCCAGTTTTCGCCACAGTTAGCGGCAGCGGCGGTGGAGGAGGTTGCACTTGAGGCTGTATCGGTGGCGGGGAGGGATTGTGCTGTTGGTGGAGCTGCTGCTGGAAGACGACATGGGCATGGATAAATTGTTGAGGGGGCTGGCTACAGCTTGGGTATTGAGTGTGAAATTCAGGGGCAAAATGGTCTTTCGGCACGGGTTCCGACCGGAGGAGGAGGGTAATCTGGTCCCTGATGAAGCCGGCTTTGTGGGACAGGTCTAACCCTAGCTTGGCTTCCAGCTGCTGAACGACACCGTTTAGAGAAGTAACGGTGTTTGGGTCTGACTGACGAAGCAGAGTCTCCACTCCTTTCGCAATCTCTTGGTCCGTCACCATTGTTGTTGTTGTGCCTATATAAATTATTAACTGAAATTAACTGATTCAAAATGGATCTTCCCTCTCTCTCTTCTTCTACCTGTCCCTCTCTTCAGAAGAATCCATCAGTCAGGGTAAATTTGTAATTGACTTGCTCAAAGTGGGGTCTTGGCTTTTGAAAAGATGGTTATATTCACATTACATTTTTTATAAATAAATCATATTTTTCAATTTAGATTAAGAGCTTGTTTGATCTTTTTTTTGTCGAAAATGTATTTTATGATGATGATTTGATGTATTAATATATGTTTAAAAAATAAGAAAAAATTTTGTATTTACGTGTAATATTATTTTATTGAAAACGTGTGATTTAAAATAAGAAAGAGAAATATATTTTTGAAAATGGAAATTACACTAGAGCGGGTATTTAAAGATCGCACTTTAAAAATCATGTATGAAGTATATTTAATCAAAAATCAAGTGACAATTTAATATTTTAATATTCATAATTATATTACAAATTCAACACCCATCAAAACACTAATCCACCTAATTTTAGCCCTAAATCATTTTAATTAATTATCTCCCTCTCTCACTCTTCGTCTCAACGAAGTCAGAATCCTCCCACTCTCCCTTTCATCAAGAAAGCCGAAATCTTCTCTTTCACCCTTCCTCTCCTCAACGAGATTCGTTAGTAATATTGCTGCACATAGCGATCAAAAGCACTGTGAACGTGTAAGAGTCAGTGTCGTTGCAATAATGACCTTGCGTGTAATGGAGTTGTGCATGCTTCTTTGCACGCTATAGTCTCACTCTCTCTATAGTGATGGTGATGTGGATGTGGTTTTGGGGACGGAAACGCCATGGATATGGTGTTTCTTCCCTTCAATGTGTCTAGGGCGACTTCGTGCTCCAATTGTCACAACTGCGACGGCATTGTGCGCACTACAGTTGTTGTTGCAGCAACGATGACGTGGCGTTTCTTCCCTCCTATCTGTTATGGGTTGTTTTGGGTGTTGGCTGTAAGGCGGTGGTGCTGAGGTGAAAATCTGGAGTTTTAAGGGGTATAGTTGGTGGTGGTTAGCAAATTGTGGTGGTATTTGTAGTTGGGTGGCGGTGATTGTGATGTTGACTGCAATGGTGAGGTGGTGATGATGTTGGTGATGCTAGTGGGATGGTATTGGTGGTCAACGACGACGATGTAGGTGGTTCACGTAAATGGTGTTGTGTTGATGGTGGTTTTGTGGTATTGGTGGTTGTGGTGGCGGGGCGAAATGAAAAGTGTTTGTGACCAATTATTTAGGTATTTGTGATCAACTACATAGTTGATTTGTGACCAAATATTGGTAGTGGATTGTGATCCAGGGTGGGGTGAAGTGTTTGGTGTATGTGAGCAATGGTTATTTGTGATAAACTATTTAATTGTAACATAAAAATTCGATAATTCGTGACTGAAAAATAATGACCAACTAATTTGAAAATATGTGACCGTTAATTAAGTCATTAAGTCGTGACATATAAAAATTGTATTTTTTAACCTATAATAATTTTAATATAGGACCAATAAATAAGTTATAACATATAAGTGCGTAAATGTAATCATTAATTAAATAATCATGACCTTAATATATTTAATTAATAAAATATTTTTCATTATTTAGTTATCACCTGAGAATTGAAAATTTAAATTTATTGTTTGAGTTTTGAATTAGCGTATATTTTATACCATATATATGAATGTTTCCCTTTTGAAATAATAGGGACCACGCAAGGGATAAGCCCACGTTTGGTGCCCACTATTTTTTTAAAAAAATTGAATATTATTTTTAGTGGAATGCGTCGTTAAAAAGTAGAAAAAAAATTTAATTTTCCTTGTAGAATATTTTATTGTATGAATATGTAGTTGAAAATAATCTCCCAGCAATTTAAAAAAAAAAAAAAACAANATAAAGTATCTTTAAATGTAAATCAAGATTTTTTATTATTATTTTACCAAATATTATTCAGAAAATCTTTATAACAAAATAACATTTAAAAAAAAAAAAAACAATAGGCACCAAACAAGGGCTAAATATCATTTACCTTTATTTATTATCATACTTATATTTTTAACTTTTTTTTTCCATCGTATTCTAATATTTTGCATTTCATTGATCCAAAAAATTTATCTTTAATCATGATTTTTGTTCAAAAATATTGTTAACATGTTTTAATATAGGGATCAAATATTTTAATCGCATTTTTGCATATTTAAAAATACAATGGGCAAATAAGCCTTTTATTCCCTCTTAAAGAAAATTTTGGAGAGAAATTATAATGAGAAACAATTTATATTAATTTAAGAATAAGAATAAGAATACGAAGAAAAAAATGTTTGAGATATAAATATAATAATGTATAAAGATCATGAATATTACATGCAATTAAAATGTAGTCTAATTATTAAAAACTTCAGTATAAATATATCTAGCCTTTGGAAAATTCAAGATTAAGTAAAGATATCGGTCATTGACATAGAGATAAAAGAGTAATTGAGGTGGTGAATCGGTTCAGAACGAATTCAATATGTTTGAGCTCCATTTATTTGAAAGAACGTGTTTTGTAATCGGGATTTTTGTAAGAGTGTGCGACTAAAAAGTAGAAGAAATTTTGGGTTTACGTGTAAAATTATTTTTATTTAAAAATGTGAAGTAAAAAATTAATTTTAGGGAAAATGAGTTTATAAAATGGGACTTAAACAAGGGCAAATTGTCTCGACTTTGGCAACATGTTTGAATTACTATCGTAACCGTGTTGCATCTTGAATAACGAAAATTTAGTATGAATTATTTAAGAAGAATAATGTTATTTAGCATCACTATGGTTGCAACTTCAGTATAGGTAACATTGATATGACATTAAATAATAAGTGAAATTAAATAACTTATTTAATTCATTTGATCTATTATCTAATATCACATAAATTAGAGCTGCAACTCCAATGAAGTTACATAACATTATTTATTTTGGAAATGGATAATGATTTTTTGGCCGTTAGATATGATATTAGTAGGGTTTGGTTAACAACTAGAAAGAAATTGTTGGGATTATCGAGTGATTAGTGCTGGT